CGACGACGACGACGATGATGGTGATGATGATGAAAACAACAATGACACTGTAACCGTCCGACGTACGGTTACATGCGGCACCGGGGATGCGGAGCGCGCCGGTCTCGTGTTGCGTATGTACGCGTACGTGGCTCGCCGGAAACCTGGGCGCGCGTCGCATGCCTGCCACCCGCTTTCCTGCGCGGCTTCGATGTGCTTCGCCGACGAGCGAGACAAGCTTAGTCGAGTTCCGTCCCCGCCAGCGCGACTCAAGCGGCATCGTGTCGCCGACGCCTCTGGCGGCCCCGCCTCGCCGCGGCGAGAGTACTGAGCAGCGCAGCACGGGTGCTGCGGCGAGGTGCCGCCACACTGTGCGCACATGCGCGAGCACCCTCTACGTGCGCCCGCCGCACATCGAACGCACGTCGACCGCGAATCGCGCCGACTTTGCCGACGTGTGGGATCGCCTTCGGAGCGCCCTCTACGTCTCCGATTAGCCGCCACTAAGTGACGCGGTGACGTGAATTATGACACCGTGCGAGCGTCGCACCGGTGCATTTTATCGAGCGTTTGTTCCTGGGGATTATTATGCTAGGATATCTGGTTCGGTCATCATTATTGATTTTTTCATAATAAAACTTTTTTTACCGTACTCGTTTTTATCATTTTGTAAAATTTTTGTTAATCTTTTCTCATTAACAGCGTTCACAGGGCAGCGTCCACCTCTGCCAACTATTGGCAAATTTAAAACAAAATTTACAAAAATTCTTTTTGTGGGACCATCTGTAGCAGCGGCAGCGTCAGCAGCAGCGTCAGCGTCAGCATCAGCAGCGGCAGCGTCGGCCGTGGCAACGTGTATCAGCGCCAGCTTGAGGTAGTACGAGCAGACGAGCAGCTTCGGCTTGTGTCGCGTCGTCGCCAGCAGCCGCATCACGCCGACGCCGCGCCGCGCCAGGCTGCTCAGGTAGACGCGCATCTCGACAGCGCCCCCTAGCAGCAGCTGCTCGGCGGCGTCGCCGCGCCGCGCGCCGTGCAGCGACGGATGCAGCAGCGCCTTGGCGACGACCGCCGCGTCGCGGTAGCGCGCCGCCATGTTGCCGATGGCGCGATTCTCAGCGACGGCCGTGCACACGCACCAGCGCCGCCTGCCGCCGCCCGTCGGCTTCGGCACGGCGTGGTAGCCGACGACGAGGCCGCCAGGTGGCGCCGCGCTCACCCACACGGCGGGCGTGACGTCGACGGCGACGCAAAGTCCCGCGTAGCTGCCGACAGAGTCGTAGACGAACTCGAACGTTGTACACACCTTGTTCCACTCGCAGAAGCGCGCACGCGTGCCGTCAACGCGCAGGCGCGCCGCGAGGGGACGCCTCGCGAGCAGGGCGCGCCGCAGCGCCGCGCACAGCACGTTCAGGAACGCCTCCTTGAGGTCGGTCGTCAGCCAGCCATCGGCGACGACGTCGTCGTAGCCGGCCGCCGCGCATCGTAGCTGCACCGCGCCGGCAGAGGGCGCCGGCGAGACGTCGACGCGCCCGCAGAGGGCGCTCACCTCAAAGATGTAGTCGAACTCGTCAGGCGCGCCCGTCTTGGTTCCGTTCGCCGCGCTGCCGACCAGCACCGGCTTGCACGCGAAGCGCGCCTCCACTGCAGCCATCTCCCGGCAGGTGGCGTTCATGAGCTCAGCGACGGCGGCGCCGACGTCGGCCGCCTCCCGCTCGTCGTCGATGCGGCCGACGCCGGGCAGCCGCAGCACGTCGTCGACGCTGCGCAGCCGACCAAGCCGCCGCTCGCGAGCGCGCCACGCGGGCGCCACCTGCCGGCAGGCGGAGCCGAGTTCGCGGAAGAAGCGCGCGTGCAGCAGGTGACCGGCCGCCTCGCGGTTGGCGTGGTTGAGCGCCACCGTGAGCGCCCTCTGTACGCACAGCTCGTAGGCCGTGCGTCCGTCGGCGTCGCGTCGCTGCATGGCGGCGCCGGCCGCTAGCAGCGCCCTCACGGTGCGCCCGTGTCCGCCCTCCGCCGCCAGCATCAGCGGCGTCCTGCCGTCGGCGTTGGTCGCCTCGACGGCGGCGCCACTTAGCAACAGCTCTTCGACGGTGGTGGCGTGGCCGTCGCGGGAGGCGAGTAGGAGAGCCGTCATGCCGTCGTCATTGTCGGCATTGATGTCGACACCTGCAGCATGAGTCATCGCACAGTGTTAGTGCATGAGTCCTAGCGCAGTGTTAGTGCACGAGCACGAACGACGACGTTACGGCAGAGTTTTACCCACAGAATCGCGAGTTCTAAATGTATGAAATTATTGTTATATATTATTTATTGTTATTAGGCAGTATCACTATTATTTTGTATTGCTTATAGACAAAACAATTTGTCTCATTAACTCCTGATATATATACATATATATAAATAGATATACGCGTACGTGTGCCGGCGCGTCTGTGTATTACTGTATTTTGTCGACGTAGCAGTCAATATCTCGAAAAATAGAAAAGGTTCGCTTTCATTGCCTTTCGATGAAACAATATTTTATTACTTTTCGTTTTGTTCATTTCATTCGTGTCTTATAACTTTCCTCATCATGAACCACAGTACTAACGCTTCCCCTGCTATTTCCCCTTCCGCTTCCTATTGTCATGACAACATGGACGCTGCGCTTCAACCGTGAGAACGCTTCAACTAGATCGTCCACGACGTTGACGTGACTTAGACTGCCACTACGTTCGGTTCGTTAGCTCGCGGTCGTGCGAGCTGAACGAGGCGCGCCTGCTCACCGGGCACGGACAGTAGCAGTTTGACGGTGTCGCTCTGGCCGGCGGTGGCAGCACGCACCAGCGCCGTCTCTCCGCCGTCGTTACGGTCGTTGACGGGCGCGCCGGCCTGCAGCAGCAGCTCGACGACGCGCGTGTTTCCCCGCCAGGCGGCGCGCACCAGCGACGTGCCTCCCTCCGTGTTGCGAGCGTCCAGCGCCGCACCAGCGCGCAGCAAGATGGCGACTGTGAAAAATATGAGGCAACGCATAATTATCAATATCTCTCTCTCTTTCTCTCTCTATATATATATATATTAATGTGTGTGTGTGTGTGTGTGTGTGTGTGTGTGTGTGTGTGTGTGTGTGTGTGTTGTGTGTGTGTGTGGTGTGTGTGTGTGTGTGTGTTGTGTGTGTGTGTGTGTGTGTGTGTGTGTGTGTGTGTGTGTGTGTGTGTGTGTGTGTGTGTGTGTGTGTGTGTGTGTGTGTGTGTGTGTGTGTGTGTGTGTGTGTGTGTGTGTGTGTGTGTGTGTGTGTGTGTGTGTGTGTGTGTGTGTGTGTGTGTGTGTGTGTCGTGTGTGTGTGTGGTGTGTGTGTGTGTGTGTGTGTGTGTGTGTGTGTGTGTGTGTGTGTGTGTGTGTGTGTGTGTGTGTGTGTGTGGTGTGTGTGTGTGTGTGTGTGTGTGTGTGTGTGTGTGTGTGTGTGTGTGTGTGTGTGTGTGGTGTGTGTGTGTGTGGTGTGTGTGTGTGTGTGTGTGTGTGTGTGTGTGTGTGTGTGTGTGTGTGTGTGTGTGTGTGTGTGTGTGTGTGTGTGGTGTGTGTGGTGTGTGTGTTGTGTGTGTGTGTGTGTGTGTGTGTGTGTGTGTTGTGTGTGTGTGTGTGTGTGTGTGTGTGGTGTGTGTGTGTGTGTGTGTGTGTGTGTGTGTATATATATATATATATATATATTGTATATTCTCGGGCTTGCATCTGACTCTAGTCCTTTTCCGATATTTAGATATTTTGCTATTAAGATTTTAGCATCAGTACTATGTGTGCGACTATAGTGTATTTCTGTTCACATCCTCTTGGGCGTATGATAGATAGATTGATTGACTGACTGGACTGATTGATTGATTAAGTGATTGATTGATTGATATTGAGACTGGGGTTGAATCTGTGACCGGGTTTATTTGTAGCTAATAACCAGTCGCCGGTACCTGGGGAGAGAACAGAGGCGCCACACTGCGGACGAACACGTACCTATAAGAGGCTGGTCGGCATATGCTGCCGTCATTAACGCTGTCCTGTCGAATTTATCCAGCGCGTCGACGGTGGCGCCCCTGCGGAGCAGTGTGCAAACAGCGTCGGCGCGCCCCGCCTGGCTGGCGAGCATCAGTGCTGTTCGCTTGTCATTATCGATTGCGTCGGCCTGGTGATTGATAAATACGTACAGTTATAGCGTTGGTTTTTGTAACAGTATGGGATGCAGGGGATATAGACATTACTATGCCTAGTCAATGTATGGTAATGATTCTTACATTCACATCCAAAACCTTGGCATAACAACATCCCTAAATAAATGTCTTAAAATTAATTTTTTTTATGCAATGCCATAATTTAGCACATAAATAAAATATAGATAAATATATTAATAATATATTAATATATAAATTATATATAAATATAAAATGCTCAATGAAATTACTTTACTCTATCGCCAAGAGTTTCGACATCAACTCTGTCGCTATCTTGATGTACTGGCATATCAGCGGGAGATAAACATATCTATTCACTAGCTCTAGTACATCGCGCTGGCAGCGGCAGTTAATGTAAGCGGCTATAGTACTAGAGCTATCTATTCACGTACTCTTACATCAGGAGTTCAAATTAAAAGTTCAGACGGGGTTTTTCCACATTTTACAAGGTTGCGTTGATTACACAGTCAGGTGCAATCGCGTCGCTGTCTCACTCCCTCACCTGTGCACCTGCATTAATCAGCACTGTCACTACGTCGGCGTGGCCCTCAGTAGCAGCTAGCATGAGAGCCGTCCATCCATTTTTACTTTTCGCGTCCACTGCAGCACCGGCCCCGACTAGCAGGTCGACTGTGGCGCCCTCCCCGGCAGCAGCAGCAAACATCAGCGCAGTCCTACGCGAGAAGCAAGGGGGGGGGCGGGGCGTAAATGTAAGTGTGAAGGTGCAACACTGGTGTGCCCGCCCCGAGTGATTGACAGGTAGTTCAAGGCCAATCAGCGTTGCGATAAGGACGCGTTCTAAAAACGTTGTTTGTTGACGAAGAGCTACAGAATGATGATGCAGAGATGCAGAGCTGCAGAAGGATCATACAAACTCTCCCATATATATGACATTTACTGAAGCCGAGGCCGCCCACGTGGGCAGGCCCCTCGAGTGTAACATCACAAACTTCATGATGTCACCTTCTGCCACTTATGGTGACGTCACATCCTGATGAAGATTTCCCGAAGAAAGATCGAAAATTTCGATATTAAGTTAATTTCTTGGATTTAACACAAGATAAATAAGAATTCATAGTTTCAACGAAATCCAATAAACTTATTTCATTCAAGAGCTATATAGAGTCTGTATTTTGGCGCGCACGCGTGAAAAACACGTATAGGCCTATCTAATATATATTTGAGTTCGTATGTATCTATGTATCTATGTATGTATGTATGTATGTATGTATCTTCCCTATACGGCCGGCCAAACCGCCCAAGCGGATCTGGATGGCAATTTTCAGCAGGGCCATCTTCTTATACCCGGGAGTGTTCCTAGACGGAAAAAAACTGTCAAACCGTCAAACTCACCGAAAAATCCGTGAAAAACCCGTCAATTCCTACACTGCACAGTGCTGCCACACAGAAAAATCTATGACTATTTCTTGCCATCGCTTCATCATCAGCTGTTGCTATTGTGAAACCGAAACCAGGTACTAAAACAGAGCACAGCCAGGACCAAGCTGCAGAGGTTCGACTGCATTGTTTATCCAAGAGCTTATCTTCTCTCACACAACAACGGAAG